TCACATTCATTCCATATCAACTACGAGCTAAAATCACTCGAGAATTTTGAAAAAAAACCAACACCAAATCAATATAAAACACAAAAGGTTTTCAACAATGAAGATATTCTTACTATAGAACTCCAATCTTGTTTGGGATTTAGGTCGACTGTTGCAATCGGTATATTATAACTGAAAGAATGCTAATGAAAATTCAATTCTCGCCTCACATTCAACCATTCTTCTCGCCCATTCATCACCAGCACAACAAACGAACGAAATTACTTTTAAGAAGTAAGTAAGTTAAAGTAAGTTTAAGTAAGTTTTAAGTAGTAAGTTCATCCAACAAAAAGTAAGTTTTACTCTATCACTTCATATAAATCATTCAAAACAACTGAAAAAAAAATCCAAAACGAAGCAAAAACAAACCACTAAACAACTAAAAAACATAGAAAACCACCAACTCTGATGTCAATGTCGATGACGATGGGAATGGAACACTCGTATTTTCGGGCAAAAGATTTGTCATCAAATACTGTGAAAATTCAACTGCCGCCTGTGAAAAATACAAAAATGCAATTTTGAATGCAATGAACACAAACGCAAAATTGCCCTTTTCATGGTGAATTTAAAAATTAAATGAACTTAAATGTTCACGTCTAATCGTAACAAAAAGAAAAGTATAAAGTAAAATCTAACAAGTAAAATATCCGAATCAAATTCAATTAATCAATGCATTAACAAAAAACTTACTTGTTGAGCAACCACATGAATCGATGGAGCCTCATTAGCTGCATTATCCACCTTCGCCATTGCCACTTCCATACCCGCAGTGGCCGTTGCTACATCGTCACTTTTATTCAACTCTTCATACGGACTCACCACCTTCTTGAAGAACTCATCCCATCTCGACGTTTTCTCAGTCTCTGAAATTCACTTCTCAGTTCTTGAAAAAAAAATTCTAATTTTCTTCTCATTTCTAACTGAAAACCAACTCGATCGAATTTTTTTCTATTTTGATGGTTCAGACGAGCGTTTTGTATCATAAATTAGATGATTAATGAAGTTTTTGGATGAGTTGCATGAATATTCCAAAATGTTCCATCAACTTATGCAGGCACCATACTCATGATCACTCATCATCAATATCATTGGAGAGTGGTTTA